TGTGTGTTACAGTTTTTGACGGTCGCCAACACTCTCTCATTTCACATTTATAGTTGGAATTTCGGTGAAGCAAACGTGTGTTTTTTGTTATTACACTCGACTATTACATTCGACATAAAGTAGGCTTTGAAACTAATGGTAGAACTTGAAATCTTCCACAATTCTGTTTCGTATGTCGTCAGGGTGCCGATGAGAGGTATATCCGTATAAAAATTCAATTCTTCTCCTTCCATCAGCGTACATGACCCAGGTTGACTATAGTTCTTACTCAAGATTTACGTTTAGACTCTAAACCTACTAACTATGAATACAGGATAGCTTGACCATAGTAATTATATACATGAGATGCTTTCACACTATTTCGTTTAAGGTAATGAAGGACTGCTAGTCTAATTTTAGCACAAGGATATGAGTAGACCTTACGGTTTCAATGAATTTCACAATAGGTATTTTTATCTAGGGTACACTACAGTTTCGACTTTGTCTATACCTCTGCAGTACCCCCAATGGAACTCGAACCATGACATTGCGGCGTTTATATCAAAACGTTAACAATTACGCAATATTGCTATGAGAGCCTTGGGTCACAGGGCAGATGTGCCATAATAAATACAACTTTGCTTCATCGACAATCCAATCACAAAATGTGATATGGAAAATACCTGAATTTCCTTGACATTCACATTCTCACTGTGACCCAAGGGCACTTGTGGGAGGGTGGCGTAGTGGTTAGCGTGTCGAGATTATATGCTACCCTTTAGGAAACAAGGCTATATGAAATTAAATGGAAACGTAAGGTCTACTCATATCATTGTGGAAAAACGAAATAGGAGGAAAACATATCATATATCTAATTAACTGCTAGTCTCGAAAGCCTACTTACAAACATAATAATTAAGTTTCGCTGCCCTTGCCTAGTCACATGCCATCAAGTGTGAAGATGATAAATTCATCATTCAGAAACCTCATCTTTAAATGGATAATAATGTAATCAAGTTAAAAGGCAAACACAAGTTCGTCTTATCTACATCGGTCCTAGCTTCCCTTGCAAGTAACATCTGCCCTGTAACCCACTAGACTTCGACACCGTGTTGCGGACATGTAGCATCGCAATTTGATGCGCACAAACCGCTATCAAATCCTGTTGAGGATCCAGATGAGACCTGACATTTGAAATCTACACTGTCGTCCCGAGTAGGTGAGAAAGCCTTTTAGAAGTCTAGGCTGGATGAAACTAAGTGGCACTGTGAGGCCTCCTGTTCAATAGATTGTAGAAACCTCAACTATTAATCCTTCATTTGCCTTAAGCAATTCAAGGTGACTCGATGCTTTATATAAGGTCTCTTCATAGTCTCAAACTGAAATATTCTGTCATGAAATTTGAACACCAAGATACACTCTAGATGACAAAGGACAAACAGAGCGGAGAAGAGAGTTAATATGGTTGACTGGGCAATAATTTAACCAATAGTCCACAAACCACTTGTGTTGCCCTCCAAGAACCAG